ACTAGGACCCCTGGATCTGTCCCTCTAGTACTTGACCAAGATCTGGTAGGAAATGAGACTCATGCAGGGAAGAAATTCCAGAAAGGGCCCATCAGGCAGTCGCGGGCTCTGCAGGCTGCAAGGGACTCGGGTTTTCAAACATCAACACGCTCCCCACAGCTCGGAGTGTCTGCCCCTCCGCCACCTAATCCTTTCAGGGAAGCCGGGCTGGCGGAGGGAAGCGGAGAGGAGCCCGGGTGGGAGTCCCAGGCCTGCCACTCCCCGGGGCTTTCCCTTGGTCTCTCGGGCCTCGGTTTCCTTGCATAAAATGAGCGAGGCTCCCGGGCTCGTGGGGCCCACATCGTGCGCTTCCGAGTCGCACCACTGTCCGTCTGGGTCGGGCGGTGCGCGGCCTCTCGTCGTCTAACCCCAGGCCCTCCTGCTGCCACGTGCTCCCTGTTGGGGGTTTATCTCGCTTTAGCCCGGCGGGCTGGGTCCCCATGTCACCCGTTGTCTGGTGACTTTCAGACCACCTGCCCCTCAGGACTTGGACTTGGCAGGAAGGCGCCCCCGCCCCACTTGGCCTTTCCCAGCCCCGTCCCCCCGCGGCCAGAGCGCAGGCCTGGGCCGGGGGAGGTGGGAGCAGTTGGCCGCAGAGGCTGAGCTGTTTCCCGGAGCCGGAGCCGAGCAAGCCCCAGCTGGCCCGGAGGCCCCTGCGGCCCTGCCCTGTTACCGCAGGTAAGGGATCGTCCCGGAGCCCAGCCACGTGGGACCGGGATGGGCCGTGGGGGGGCGGACTTTGTTCCAGAGCTCAGTTGGGATAGTTGCCCTTTTCTTCCTGCCAAACCACAGTCCGTCTGGACGGGCTCCCCCACCCGCGGATGGGGACCTGCTCAAAAGTCCATTGGTCCCAAGTGGTGAATCTGGCTGCTCCAGCTCCTCCCCACCCCACCGCCCCCGACAGCATGGGAGCCCGGCCCACCTGCCCCAGGAGGGCCCCGGGCAGCCGGAGCCCCGGTCAGGGGAGTCAGCTGGCTCCTTCCCAGAGCACCCTCCCTGCTCGGCGGGGCCCTCTCGGGGCTACCCCCGGTCTCCAGGTCCCTGAGGGATGGGGGATGGGGGAGACAGAAGCCACAGTGCCCCTCTCCCCCTGCTGCCTCCCCACACCTCTCTGGAGTCCCTGGGGAACCCACTTCGAAGGGGGGTTTTGTCCTCACAGCTGAACCTACCAGAAGGACCCATAATTGCCAGATGCCCAGAGTCTCCCTTGGGTCCCCAGGGCCCCCGTGGACAGCTCCTTGTTAGAAGGGAAGGTAATGCTGGGTCGCAGGCCCGGGGGTGGCGTTTGTCGGCATCTGACCCCAAAGTCGCCCCCAGGGAGGGCGGCGGTCTCAGGACGGACGGACGGAGCTGGGGAAACCCACCCCAGGTTAAGAGAGGGCCGCGGTGGCTGGGTGTGTCCGGCTGAGGCCAGGCTTCCTCCCCCCCTGGGACCGGGTATCAGCCGGGACCTGCTCCTTCCAGCAAGTTCTTCCTCGTGTACCCGAAATTCAGATGTAACCGGGCACCATCGCGACATGGCTCGGGGCGTGTTGATACTAAAGGTTACTTGCGATGTGTCCGAAATTTAGACACGTGGCAGCGTGGTTTTACTTGCTCGGTCCGGCCATGCTGTGTGGGGCCCGCTGCCCGCGCAGGCCTGGGCCTGGGTGACACGCCCGGGCTTCCTGCTCGGCCCCAGATTTCGGGGCGGCCTGATGGCCCCATTGCTCCCCCGCCTTCTTGCTCCGCCGGGTGGCCCCATCTCCCCTTGGGCGCGTCCCTGTCCCCAGGAAGCAGGACCGGGCTGCAGCCCCAGGCAGGCTCCTCCACTGGGCCCCGGGGGTCGCCCGCCTTCCAGAGCATTCCCGCCAGCAGAGCAGAAAGGGGCCTGGAGGCTCACCCCGTCCCCGCCCCGGGAGCTATCACCGAGCCAGCCTTGTCCCAGGCCCTCCGGCCTCCGGGGTCGCAGGGGACGCGGAGACCGTCTAACGGGGCCAGAGGTTCCGCGTGAAGGTGGCGCTGCGCGGGTGTGGGTGCGCGTGTGTCCTCACCCGGACGCGGGCGGGAGGGGCAGCCCCGGAGCCCCCGGAGCCGCGGGGGACAGCGCCACTCCCTGGACCTCCCCTCGGTCCACACAGCGGGACCTGGATCCCTGGCTCGGTCACACGGGCAGCAGGTGGTCGCGCCCCTCGTGCCCCCGGCGCCAGCCTCACGCGGTGCTGAGCTACCCCGGGGGTCTGCGGGGCAGATCACGCTCGGGCCCTGGCGCTGCACCTGGCACCGGCCGCTGTGGTGTCGGGTGTCGCCACAGGGCCGCACGGAGAGGGGGCGCCTCCCCCGGGGCCTCAGGCCTCCTGAACCGCCTCTGGGTACGCCTGTCCTGGTCCCTGTCCCCAGGGCCTTGCTGGGCCTTATCCCGTCGACTTCCTCGGGATGTCTGAGATCCGGGCCCACCTCTCCCGCCCACGCTGCCTGCCCGTGTTCTCCTGCCCCGAGGCCTTGGCTATGACACCCCACTGTGCACCCCCGCTTGTCTGCACGCCGGTTTGCCTCGGGCCGTCTCAAGGGCACGTTGCCCGTGGCTCGAAGTCAGACGTGGGGCTCAGCCGTCTGTCTGCGGTCTCTGAGGCCCAGACGCTGCCCCGGCTGGGAGGAAGGGGGTGGGGCAGCGGCATTCTTATGGGATGCTAGGAGACTCCCGGAACTGCTGGATGACTTTCTTGTGCCAGGGAGCCTGCCAAGCCACCCGGTGCCATCCCAGGGCAGGAGCAACAGGAGTAATCGCTCGGAGCGGGTCGTTCCCGGGGACGGGACACCGGAGTGGCCAGACGCACGCCTCAAGCCTCTCTGCCTAGGGCTGCCCCGTCTGCAGAGAGGCGTGTGCAGCAGCTCTCTGCCGACCTTCCTGCCTCCTGCCCCGTCCTCTTTCCAGCAGGGTCTGAAGAAGTCCGGCTGCTTCTTCCTCAGCGCCCTTCAGCGGCTCCCTTCCGGCCTGGGAACAGCTTTGCTCTGGGCCCTGCGGGCTCTGGCTCCACCTGCCTGCTGGCTCCACCTTACACTCCCCTCCCCTGCTGCCCCTCCCCCCAGCACTTCCAGCCCCCGCAGGGCTGCACCCTGGGCGTCCCACAGGCCTTCCCTCTGCTTGGAATCCGGTTCCCCATCTCCTCCCCGGCCAGGTCCTCCTCGGCCACCAGGTCTTCTCCTGGAGGGCCTCCCGGATGCCCACGCCCCGTGCTTCCCCCGCCAGCTCTGCCCATGACTTTGTGGGCAGGGACTTTGTCTTCTTCACAGCTGATGTTTACCCAGTACTTCCCAAACCTGTCTGCGTACGGAAACATTTGGGGTGTTCTTCCGAACAGAGTCGCGGGGCCGCTTGGGTGGCTCAGTTGGTTTAGCGTCCAACTCTTGATCTCGGCTCAGGTCTGCATCTCAGGGTGGCGAGTCCAAGCTCCATGTTGGGCTCCATGCTGGGAGTGGAGCCTACTTAAGAAAAAGCCAGATTCCTAGGCCCTTTCTGGACCTTCCGAACTACACCATCCTGGGGAGGAGCTCAGGAGTCTGCATTCTCACCAAGTCCCAGCCAGTCAGACCATCGAGAGTGTGGTGACCACCATTGGTGGACGTATCTGGAGAGACAGGCCGTGCCAGTAGAGACGGCACTCACCAAAGGGTTTTTGGTCCTATCGGGTCAGGTTTGAAGTGGGTGGGAGGTCTTCCCTAATCGCTGATTCCTAAAGGATGATCCAGATCAGTTTGCTCTCCCAGCTAAGGTTCCAGCGTTGACCTGTCACCCCCCCTCGGTGGTGAGCCAGGGAGTTTCTCCCGGTGGTCCTTAAGACGTGTGGCAAGAAGGGCCCTGGTGAAATAGCTTAGGGAGGAGACAGCACTGCTGGACCTTCTTCCGCCCACCCTGCACCCCCAGTCACATCAGATGTCCCTTAGGTTCAAGGTTATGGAGTCTTAGGGCCTTTGTGGACAAAGGCTGGGTGTCAATGACTTGGGTGCCATAGACGTGGGGGACACCCATGCCTCAGGGGCAAAATCTCCCTCAAGATAGAAAAATTCAGGAGTAGGTCCATAATCACGGGCCAACTTGTCTGCTCCCTGTGGGACCAGCTACCTCGGGTGATCCCATTCCACCTCAAGTCCCAGACCAGGACTCAGAAGACAATAAATAACATATTGATAAAGGACATCATAGCCGGGACACACCTGTAAAAAGCTAAGATGGGCAGTCTCCTTGTTTTGCCGGGCTAAACTTCCAAATCTTCTAGAATGGGCATCATAAGCTCTCCCGTCACCCAGGAATCTCTGGGTGTCTCGCAGACGGGATCGCCACCATCTGTTGACCTGTTCTGAAAAGTAGCCCATCAAGGACTCCAACCATAGCATATGGGGGTGATCAACTGAGCAAGAAGGCCCAGGACTTTGGCAGGAGCTTCATCAAGCTACTCGGTCCTTGAAGAGACCAGGAGCAAGCGGGGCTAGGGTTGGGTGACAGGGAGTGGCTTGGATGTTGGGGGAGGCATTTTCTTTGGATAGGTCCAGAGGGAGGAGATTTCCCTCTACGAGTGGTGGGAGCACCCCTACCATATGGCCTTGAACCGGACAGGGTTGGGAAGAGTAGCGTGGAGCTGGTGGAAGTGGTAGTGGAAGAGTCGACCCAAAGCCGGGGAGCTATGGCATCGATTTAGAAGCCTGGGGCTGGGCCACGGGTTCAACACTGGGTCTGGGAGGAAGAGCTGGTGCCATCCAGAGGAACACATGGCATAAAGGATCAAGAATTATGGGTTGGAATGGAGGCGAATCATGGGAACTTGGGGAGGTGTGGTGTAGGATAAGTGGTGGCCAAGTCGCAGCTTTAGTCCTAGGGCACCCCAAAGGCCCCGTTGGGGTCCAGGCTGGCCCAGCTCAGCTCAGGCCCACACCTCAGTCTGCATCTTGCCCTGGATTGATCCTCTCCATCCTCTCTCCACCAGGCGCCTAGATGCCAACCTCATCTCCCTGGTCCCGGAGAGGAGCTTTGAGGGGCTGTCTTCCCTCCGCCACCTGTGGCTGGACGACAATGCACTCACCGAGATCCCTGTCAGGGCCCTCAACAACCTCCCTGCCCTGCAAGCCATGACCCTGGCCCTCAACCGCATCAGCCACATCCCTGACTACGCCTTCCAGAACCTCACCAGCCTTGTGGTGCTGTGAGTGCCGCCCCCACCCCCACCCCCACCCCCACCCCCACCCCCGGCCGGGTCCTGCTGGGGCTGCATGTTTACCCCAAAGTTGGGTTGGAAGCCTGGATAGCTTTGCTCTTCTCTACGTGGCACCGAACCTTCTGGCCTCAGGTTCTCCTTTTTAAAATGAGGGTGATCATCCCATGTGGACCCCATGGGGGTTATCATGAGGCCAAATGACAGTAGAGCTGCAGAAGGGCTTCGAGAAGCCAAAACACTCCAATCAGAAAATGGGTATTAAGCTACTCGTTTCTCACTATGCAATTATAGTCACTATCCCAGGCTGATCGGAATAGAGGTCAGCGGTCTCGTAAGCGATTTCCACCATACTCAGCCATCGGGTGACGCCGTCTTGCGCTTTGGCACCGGGATAGGATACAGTCGTCTCTTTTCCCGGGCTTGGAGGAGCGGGGGAAGCCATCACTTGTAATTAGACGGCAGAGGCCCGGCGGGGTAATTACCTGGGAGATAGTATCCCTGGCAGGAATTGGGGACCGGCCTTACCTCTGCCTCCCCAGTGAGAACCTTAGAGTGCAAATTAGCTCCCAGCTAATTGCTCTGAACGATTGGTAAGTTCGCGGGGTAATTACTAAGGGCTTGGAGGTCACGTGTAATTGCTTTGGGGTACACACTAATTGCTACGGGAACATATGTGTCCGTGACTCTGCTAAACGGCGACCTTGCCTGCCCGGCTCTTGGAAATCTGGTCCGATTTTTCCGGATGATGCGTAGGTCCGTCTGAGAGCTGGAAACTCAGCCACCAATTTGTCTAATTCTTTGTCCTGGGAGACTGGACAGCCAAGGTGAGCCTCCTCAGGGATCACGTCCTTCTATCGGGGTGGCCGTTCCATCCCTCCTTCTGGGAGTCAACGGGGGTGTTTATAGAGGGTGAATAGAGCAAGGTGACCAACTCTCATTTTGGTGACAGCCTGAGGGAATGGGGTCAGGTCTCCACGGGAGACAAGGGTGGGAAAATGAGGGCCACAGGAGGGGTCCCGGACAGCTGAGCAGCAGCAGGTGTTTCTAGAACCCCTTTGTGGGACGCTGAAGAGTCGAGGAAGCATGAGAGCAGCTGCTGCCCCCGCAGGGGCTGACAGTGTAGTTGAAACCGCAGAATAAATATGGGAAATGGCAGCTGATGATGGGATGTAACCTATGCCAGGATGGCTGGTGATGGTGACGGATCCGTGGGTGGTGGCTGGAGCAAGTCAGGGGCTGTAGGAAGGCTTCGTGGGGAAGGTGGGGCCTGGGCCTGGGCAGACGATGAAGAACCAGACAGGTGCAGACAATGACGGTTGCTCCAAGCAGTGTCACGAGGACGCGGACACCGAGGGGCAAGTCCGGCTGTTTGGCGGCAGCGAACAGGCCAGTGTGGTGGGAGCGCGGGATCCTCTTGCAGAATGTGGGAGAACAGGCTGGGAAGGTGGGTTGGGGGGTCACAGCGTCAGGGCCGGGAGTTTGGCTTCTGTCCGTCAGCGGGGAAGGGGAGCTCGATGGCTTTCGGGTAGAGAGGAGCTGGGGTATTTCAGGGAGGCTAACGGGAGGATGGGCGGGAACAGAGGGACAGGTGGGAGGCTCTCGGCCCTCAGCCGACGTCTGGTCTAAGGCGGTGGTAGGAAGAATGGGAGGAAAGACGTGACTTCCGGGGTGTTCTGAAGGAAGGATAAGTCTGACCTAGAGATTTTCAGGGGGTGGAAGAGCAGAAGGAAGGAGAATCAAGAACGAGTCCTGCGTCTGGGTGGGAACTGGGGAATGGGACGCTAGGCGCGCTGCGGGTCTGGGGGGTGGGGGCCCCGCCCGGCAAACGGGGGGGGGGGGCGAGGGACTAAGGAAAGGAAACCTAGTGGTGCAGGAGCCCCGCTGAGGGGAGCTGGTCCCTTTGTGGGGGGCAAGGCCAGAAACCTCACCCCTTGGCCCTGCCCCCGCCCACCGGGACCTGAGAAGGGAGAGGGGGCTGGGGACACGAGCCAGGGACTGTGGGACACGGTCCAGGAGGCTGACAGGCTGCGGCAGGAGGGAGGAACCCACGACGCACAGGAGTCCGCGGAGGTGTAGGTGGACGAGGGCGGAGGGCGAGGGCTTCTCCGGGATGGCATCGAGGAGCAGGGGCGTCCCTCGTGCCAGCTTCTCTCTTCATCCCGACCGTCCAACCCCCGCTCCAGGTTGGGCTGCTAGAGGTGCCCAGGATGCCGGGTGGACGAGCAGTTCGGGGGGGGGTGGGACCCCCAGAGCTGGATATTCAGGAGGCCCGGGGGCGCAGACCAGAGCCGCCGAGGAGGTGGAAAGGGCTGGCACGTGGAAATGAGGCTTCAGCAGGAGGCGGGCAGGTGCAGGCGCGGAGGCAGCGGGCAAATCCAGAGCCCTGGCGGAGGGGCCGGTCCGTCCCTGCGGGCGGGGCGCCGCGTGTCCTGTGGGACGGGCCTGTCCCCAGCGGCCGGGGGCCTTCCCGTCTCTGGCATGTGAACATCTTGGGTGTTGCGTCGTTTCTTCCCCTTGCACGGGATTTGCCTTCTGTGCCCGAGGAGGCTTCCTGACTCCGGGACTTCAGTGGCTCAAGCAGGACGCGCCGCGGTGTGGACGGCGGGAGCCTGCGGGCCGCGGGTGGGAGAGGCCTCTGCTCTGGGGACCCCGCGTCCGCCTTGGGCTCCGCTCGGCCGCAGCTGGTGCCCGGCTCCCCGGCGGCTCGTGGGGCCCGGGCACCGCCTCCGCGCCTGCTCCACCTCTGCGCTCCCGCTCGGACCCCTCGTCCAGTTCAGCCACGTCCACGAGATGATCTGAAGCTGCTTCTCCGGCGCCGGGTCCGTTCCGTGGACCCTTGTTCCTTGGCTCAGGCTTCCTGACTAGTCCTTGGATGATGTGGCTTTGGTCCTCGGCGAGCTCTTGTTGCCTGCGATGCCATTTTCTCTCTCGTTCTTAAAATTTCATCTTGGAAATACCGGGTTTTTTCCGAGCTCGCCTTGTAGCAGGAGAGGCCGCCGTGTACGCGCCCTTCTGTCCCTCCTCCCGTGGTTGGTCTGTTTTCCTGGCGCGGAACCTCACCGGCCTTTGCACCCTCCCTTCCCCCCGGTGCCCCCATCACTGCCACGAGGCCCCTTGCTCGGGCTGATGCGTGCACGGCTGTCTGCTAGGTCCGGCTGTGCCACCGTGCCCCCCCCCCGTGGTTGGCAGGATAGCACTGGGGGCAAATGAGGTTGCATCTGCTTTCCGGGCCCTGGAGGGGGGTGGGGGACGGGGCTGCGCTCCTGGGGGTGCCCAGATCAGCTCTGCTCCCTGCAGACTCGGAGTGTGAGCTGCCTCCGTCCCCCAGGGGGTCCCTGGGGCTTCCAGGCATTTCCTGGAGTCAGGAGGAGCTCGGAGCCTTGACTTTACTCCCCCGTTCACCTGTTTCCTCTGGAAGCCAGACACGTGGAGGGGAAGCAAACCTTGTCCACGGAGCTGCTTCCCTCTAGACTTGGGTTTGGGGGGGAATGCTCAGGATTTCCTTTTCTTGCCAGGTGGGATCCTGGGAAAGCGGGGCCACTCGGGGGGCCGGAGCTCTTCCTTGGGCCCCAGCGTGCGCCCCGTACTCACGTCTGTCCGCGCTTTGCCGCTACGTGTAACGCTTGGGCTGCAGGCAGGGGTCTCGTTTGGGCTGTTCTTGCCCGTTTCGCTAGGAATCGGGAGAAGAACATTGTCACTGGTTTTGGCCAGCTGTTTACCTTGGAAATCTCTCCCAGTCTCCCCGTCCCCCCCTTCACGCCCCGTCCCCCTGCCTGAACGCCCGTCCAGGTGGCCCACCTGCCGGCCGGGCTGCACCAGCGCCTCCGCACAGCCGGCCCCGACTCCCCGGCCCCCGGCCCCCATCTCCGAGCCCGTCCACAGCCTCTCCGGCTATGACGGAAAGCTCAGCCTTTAATTATATGTTGTCTGCGGCGGTTTGCTGCTGGCTCCCACCGCGCGTCTGGCCACTGAGTCAGGCGGCTGGGTCCTGGGGAGCAGGACCGGAGAGGAAGCCTCAGACCGGAGCCCCCCGACATCAGGCCTCCCTCCGAGAGCCCCGGCCTCGGCCTTGGGCACGCCTCTCGCGTTTTCCTTCAACAGGAAGGCAAAACCACGGAGCCCGTGGCCGCTGCGGCCTTGGAGATCGTCACTGCGGAGGTCCACCCTGGCCGGTCGCTTCGTCCCCGGAGACGGAGGGCTGGACCAGGGCTGGATCCTCTACCCCCAGGGTCACTCCGTCTGTGCTTCTGCCCCCACCTTCCTCCTCAAGCCGCTGTCTGCTCGCCAGCCCACCCCCACCCCGCGGCCCGGGCCCGATGCTGCGGGCACCCATTCTGACGTGCCTCTGCTTCCCACACAGGCATCTTCATAACAACCGCATCCAGCATCTGGGGACCCACAGCTTCGAGGGGCTGCACAATCTGGAGACGCTGTGAGTGCTGGGTTGGGGGGGGGGGCATCCCGGGGAGGAAAGCCTGGATGCCTGGAGGCAGGAGGGGCGGCTGGCGCAGGGAGAGGCGGGCGGGGCTGGGTGCTGGGCTCCGGCTCGGGCCTGCTCACCCACGGGGCCCTCCCTGGCACCCTCTAGGATGTCACTCTGGGGGCATTCCTTCCTCCTTCAGGTGGGTGCAGCGTGCCCTCCGGGAGTCGAGGGTGGCCCAGGGAGGGGGAATCTAGGACCCCCGCCCGCCGAGACCAACGAAATAATGAACATTTTAGGTGGGAGAGCCAGAAGGATGCTATTGAGCCTGGGGAATGGAAGGCTTGGGGTGCGGCTGGGGCTGACTTGGTGGCCGCTTTGACACCCGTTTAAGGGTGGCTGCTGACACAGGGAGGGTGATGCCACGGAGCCGGGCCGGCACGGTGGGCCAGTTGGTCCAACGAGCTAAGTGGTTAATGGGGAGACGGCCCGTTCGGCGCTCCGGCCCGACTATAAAAAGCACCCAAGTTGTTGACTCTCGAAAAGCCATATTATTCACACATCATCATCCTGGAATCCAGTTAAGGTCAGAATGCACCCAAACCCTCCCATCATTTCCTCTGGAGGGCCGCCAGCCCCCGCAGAGTGGGCTGAGTGGGCCCCATTTGAGCAAACAACCGGCTGGGCTCTCTGAGCGTGTGGCCTTGCCAGCTGGGGTCCCGCCGTCCCCACGAGGGAGCCGGCTGCCAGGACCACCTGGGGCAGCCCCCAGCGCCAGGAGACCCGGCCCAGGTCACCCAGAATGAGTCACTGAGGTTGGGGCAGGGCTCCCGGCCTCAGGGGCGCGCCGCGGCACCTCCTGCCTCCCCTCCGCCGCCTCCTCCCTCCGCACCTGATGCCCGAGCTCCCAACGTGAGGGCTTTTCAGGGACCCGGGGCAGCCGGGGAGAAAGTGCTGGGAGACAAGCTACGAGCCGGGAGGCAGTGGTTTGGGGAAAACCATTTGGCAAACGTAGCCCAGGAGGCCTGGGCTGGCTGCGCTCGTGGTTTCGGAGGGAAGGGGCGGGCGAGGCGGAGACCACACTCCGTTCCTCTCCTGTGGTCGGGACCCGGAGCCGGGCCGCTGTCGTGGGTGAGGCTGGGCCCAGCTCTGACCGAGTGCCCAGGGGGCGGGCGTGGGAGGGGGTGCCCCAGCCTGGAGTCGGCAGAGCTGGGAGCCGGCCCCGTCTTCTCCCGTCGTCATGGACGGCTGGGCAGTGAGAGCCGGACACTCCGGCCTGTTCCGCCAACATGCGAGCATCCTGGGGCGCAGGGAAGGGGCACGGTCACCCAGTTACCCCTCGGTTGGGGCAGAGCAGAGGTAGGACGTGCCACCCGACAATCGGACGGGACGTTCCTAGCTTGGTGCCCCGCTGTCCCCAGGCATCTGAGCGGAATGTGAACTGCGAGCCGGCTCTGTGCTGGGTGTTTGGGGTCCCGGGGGGAAGGGCCGGGAGCTGCCCCCGCCCCCCGCCCTCAGGAGCCACAGGAGTCTGGGGGTGCCTGGAGCCCTGGGCATGGGCGGGCAGGAGGCGGCCCCGGAGGGTGGGGCGGGAGGGGGCACGTGGGCCGGCCGTGTGCTGGCACCCCTAAAAAGCCACCTAGCGGCTATTCCCTCCCTCTTGGGGCACACCGCGAATTCTTTCTCATCGAGCCGCTGGATCGCGGCGCCGGGCGTTCGGCTGGGCGGGAGCTGGCCGCCTCCCAGAGCGCCCCGCCGCGGGGTCCGCCGAGCCTTTCACTGCGGGGCTTGGCTCCCCGCACGAGGCCGGCCTGCGCCCACGGTGCCGGCGGGAAAGGCGAGGCCGGGGGCTGGGGGGGGGGGCTCCAGCCTGGCACCGCGGACACATGCTGCCCCCGCCCTGTGGAGGCCCTGGGTGGCGCAGCCGGTCCACCCGCTGCGGGAGCTCCGTCCACGCAGCTCCTTCGTGAGCCTTGGCTTCCTGGCCTGCGACAAAGGCCACTGATCCCACTGATCCCCCGCGCTTCACGGGGTTGACGTGTGGGCTACATGAGATGCCGTGTGCGAGGCTCCTACGGGGCCGGATCGGGGTCAGAGCCCGCCCCGCACCCGCTCCCGTCCCCTCCCCTCCTCCGAGGGCCTCACCCCTTCCCTCCCCGCCCCGAGGGACAAGCTCTCCTTCCCACTTTTGATCTCCAATTAAAAAGGGGAAAAGTGTGTTCTTTATCCTCTCCCCCCTCCAACCCCGAGCATTTGCCAGGGGAGCCTGCAGGGGCAGCCAGATGTGGGAAGGGGAGGAGTGGCCGGGAGAATAAAAGGAGAAAGAAAGATTGTCAGACCTTTTAATTGTTGCATAATTGGCACACTTTGCAGCCTCGGTTATTACTTTGGAGCTTTTCATGTGAGCGGCTTCCCTGGAAGGGTGTCTCTCCCTCGGGCCGTAAATCTCTGCGCTTGGGCCTCTCATCTCCGCAGCAGGGGAAGATCAAACCCCCCCCCCCCCCCCCGGTCCCCCCAGCCCAGGCTGCGGTTTGGCTCGGCGTGCAGGCTCCTCTGGGAGGCAGAGCGCACGGCCCTTCCCCGGGGAGGACGGCCAGGTACGGGCCTGCACTCACCCACCGGGCCTCGCAGCAGGCGAGGCCCCCCGCCCACGGGACCCCCAGCCCCCCAGCCCGCAGCCCCCCAGCCCCCCAGCCCGCGGTACCCGGACGTACACAGCGTGGCAGCGCCGCCTCGCTCGCCCTCTGCTCTAGAGGCCGGGCTGCCTGGGACCCTCCTGGGTGGCACCTCTGCCGGCGGCGCAGCGGGCAAGCAGGCTCCCCTCCGTGAGCGCACGGGGCGGGGGGGGGGGTCAACACAGGGCACCAGGTTCTCCTTTACTCTGAAAGGCCAAGCAAACCCCGGTGATGGGGGCAGGCAGGGCCTGGGTGCTGCTGAGCCCAGCGGCGGGAGGACAAGCGTCGCTGCGCCGCGGGGAGGTTGCAGGGAGAGGCTTGGGGAGCTTGCTCGTTCCCTGATGCCTTCGCCATCGTCCCAGGCCTTGCCGAGAAGCCCGAGCCGGGGGCGGGCAGGTGTCTGACCTGCATCGGCAGCTCCTTCAGCCCCACAGTGAGGAAGTCCCTCCACGCTGGGAGCTTCAGGATCCGTGCGAGCCAGCCCCGAGCCCCTGAATACCGTTTCCTCCACTTTCCAGACCAGACCAGGTCCAGAGATTCGGGACGAGCTGCCCAAATTTCTGTAGTTTGTAAGCAACGGTAAACCACCAGATCCAAACCTCCCGTCTGCTGATACCTCGCTCCGGTTAGCCCCAGCTCCTGTGGGGTCAGATTAGCTACAGGACTTCCCAGGTTGGGAAATAAGAGAAACACGACCGGGAACGATTCTGGGAAGACTCTCCCGGGGGGTCCCAGGGACCTGACACCAGGCCCTCGAGGCCTTAGCAGCTGCGGGATGCTAGTCAGCCGCTGTCGGGTCGTGGCCCCTGAGCCCCCAGCTGCACCTGCCCATAAAGTCGGTGCTAAATAAATAAGCAGATGAACCCCGCTGAGCAAGTGCAGTTATAACCCACAGGGCCCGCCCTGCTCCCTGGAGCTGGGGGTTTGGTGTCTGCATCCTAGGAAGAACTCGGAGCCTAGGGCCTAGGATGGATCTGGGGACAACCGCGCCTCGCCGCCCTCCTGCCCTCCTGCCTGGGCCATGATATCTGGGCCCCCTACGACCTCACTAAGCGCGTCAGGCCCTGTTGGGGCTCCGGAGCTGGCTGGAGCTTTCCCCTGTGGAGTGGGGCCTGGGCTCCCGGCGGGAACAGCGACCTCCGGCTCCAGCTCCCCGCACGAATCGGGACCAGCGTGGCCCTGAGGTCTGGGAGGAGAGGAGGCCAAAGCAGACACGTACGGAATTCTGCTCTAATAATACGGGGCCGTGCGCTGCGTGTCGACCCCTTCCGGTGCCAGGTGTCCCGGGGTCTGCTCCTGCAGGATGTCGGCGCTCCCACGGCAGCTGTGGCTGCAGCAGGTTCCTGCGTCCCAGGTTGCTGGACCCGCCCACACCCGCAGATTTTGCTCCGACTTGGTCCTGAGAGCATCTGGCCACCTCCGGGTCCTGGGCTGGACCGTCCGCCTGTGGCCGGGACAGAAAACCAGGCAGGTGTCCGCGGGAGGCTCCTCCGGGGCTCAGGGCATCCCAGGGTGGAGCTCGGGCTGGCCTTGCGTCGGCGCACCTGCTTCCCTGCCCGGCCCTGCCGCCGGCGTGTGACCCGTGCGAGTCACCGGCCTCTCGAGAGCCTCGGCTTCCACCAGAGGAGTCGGGGATGCTGTTTTCCGACTCCTGCCATGGCGTTTGCAGCCTGGAGCACTGTGGGCGCTGAGGCGGTGTTGGCTTTGTGTCCTAGTCCTCCCCCTTAGCGCTGGTGGAGAGCGATGTGCCCCCCGCCCCCGGCCCCGCTGAACTGGTTAATTAAATAATCTTTCGGGATCCCTGGGTGGCGCAGTGGTTTAGCGCCTGCCTTTGGCCCAGGGCGCGATCCTGGAGACCCGGGATCGAATCCCACGTCGGGCTCCCGGTGCATGGGGCCTGCTTCTCCCTCCGCCTGTGTCTCTGCCTCTCTTTCTCTGTGACTATCATAAAAAAAAAAAATTCTGTCCTTTCTTCTTTCCTTCCTGTCTTCCTCCCTCCCTCTCTTTCTCCTCCTCCTCTTCCTTTGGCACCGCGTCGGAGGTGGCAGAGAGGGTGTTGCCCAGAGGTGCCATCTCGCAGCGGTGGGTGACGTGACCGTCCCCTCTCTAGGGCGGATAGGAGCCTCCAGGGAGTCGGGGTGTGGCTGCCGTAACAAATCACCAGAGTTTGTAGCTTAAAAAAAAAAAACACAAGCACCAGAAATGTGTTTTCCCACAGTCCTGGGCGGCGGCCAGACGTCCCAAGCACAGGTGCTGGCGGGTTGGTTCCTTCTGGAGGTTGGAGGCAGGATCTGTTCCATGGCCCTCTCCGCTTCGGGGGCTGCTGGCGAGCTCGGC